ATGTGCAGCAGAGGTGTGTTCCTTTGGTGCTGGCGTGCAGTTCAAAATGCATGCCACCGAAATGTGCTAACTCACGTTGCCTGAGGTCCCATTGCACTGATGCCCGATGGCAACGCATGGTAAAATGTGTTTTCTATAACGCATTACCACAATGCACAAAGCCCATTACAGTGCTATTCTTTTTCAATGGCTTCCCAATGCACTACTAAGGCACCAGCCAATGCCAATGCACTGCAGCACACATGTCCAGGTCAATAAAATATATTGCATAGTGGTGTGAAACTGACTATAATGTTTTACCTCCCAGGTCTGCATTGGATATAAATGATATGTGCTAACAGTGTGCAAGGCATATGAAACTAAACACTGTTTGTTTAGGAATAACTCTTAAATATAGTATTAAATATCAATTCATCTGTATATAAATCAATAAAGTGAATAAATCATTAAATATAAAATGTGAACATATTGTTATTCCCTTTATTGATTTATATTTAATGATTTATTTGTTTTATTGATTTACAGGTGAACTGATATTCAGTCCTATATTTTGTGGTTAGACAACAAACATTTTCATGTTTTCTTGTTTCATAATACCTTGTGTTTGGGTAGTGGTGAATGCAACTGTCCATCTTTATGATTTTTGGATTTTGTATTGGTTTCTTTTTGGCACTTTTTAGGGCAGGATCTGTTAGTATTAGGAATAACTTTTCAGTAGCTTTAAATTTATGCGAAAGTAAAATTGAATTTTCAGTCTGGGATTTGTAATAAACCAATCAATATGTCTATGTACTTTCTAGTCTTTGGTGCTCAAAATACATTTTTCATCAAATTCTTTAGATGTACTGCAAGACTCAAGCATTAGTTTTATTGGAGCTGTTGCTATGATTTTCTGCCAGATAATAACTACAGAGTGTATCCAATTCCATCCAGTACCTGTTAACAACATCTGACTTCCCTGTTATAATCAGCAATTCAAGAAAAAAATCTAAGGTGCACTAATTGTATGGAGGACTATTTTCTTATACCAGAATGTTATATGCAAACACTACAATATAAATGTTTTTGTTCAACAATTGTATTTGTCGGTTCAATTTGTCGGTTCAATCTAATATCTGTGGGATATTATTCATATCAACTTGCTATCTAATTCTGCATTTTAAAGACATTTCCTATTAAAACTATCCTCACTTCTACTGTTTGAAATTCACAGGGCAAATGTTTTAATTTGACTGATGATCTTGTGAGGAAAAACAAAGCAACATCTAACAATTACCAAAAATGGCAATGGTTAAGCCATGCTCCAATTTCCAAAAATCACTGACACCTCATCAATTTAGCATAATTTCCAGACATTGGCGCCTACTCATCCACATCCTATAGTGGGTTAACCAGGTGAACTATATGAAATGAAGGAACACTTAAGGGGGGGGATTTACTATAACTGTTACCGATCAGCTTATAAATTCAGCGTGTTCAATTAAGCTTTGACAATAAAACCTGGAAGCCGATTGGTTTCTGTACAGAGCTGAACCAGATTTTGCACTCTTCAATTTCAGTAAACCCCCCCTTTTCACTAAATAGACCAGATTAGAGACTTACAATAGCAAGTGGTATAGTTAAAAAAAACTCCTCACCTTCTGGGACTATAAAACCCTGATGTCCTGATTTAGCTGACCTGCTGATCTATGGAGCACTGGGGTTGAATCCGTAAAACTGGAGAATGGAAAATCTGGTACAGCTGTGCATGGCAGCCAATCATCTTCTAACGTCAGCTCATTCATATAAGCTTCGACAAAAAAAAACTAAAGGCTGATTGTTTTCTTTGCAGAGCTGCACCACATTTTGTACTCTCCAGTTTTAGTAAATAAACCCCATGGTCATTCTTTTCTGGGTAGTTGATAGTCTCCAACCTCCATGGGCCAAACATAATCCTCATGACAGACTGGACTGATGTGCTGGGTGATTTCTCCTTGGTAAACTCCCTGCAATCCTATCCTTGTCCCCCCTTTCTTTCCGCCTTAATTAATTTATTTCAGGTACTTATATAGCGCCATCAATTTACGCAGTGCTTTACATATATATTGTACATTCACATCAGTCCCTAATCCTCAAGGGGCGCACCTTTCCACAGCATATTCTTCACTGCCTGCATGCTCTCTCACCCTTTATTTTCTCCCTCTCTGCTCATGTATCCTTACCCACATGTACAAGTCTCATTCTCCACTACTGTCTCTCCTCCCCCCTCAATTGCACATCCAGTGTTTTTGACCCTATATTCTTCATTTCTTCATTATATCACACATCAGTGCACGCAACAGAACTCAGTAATTAGATGGATGCTTTAACCAAAAAGGGGCAACTATACTGAAGCATGGAATCTGGAACTTTACGTTTCACACCATTTGGGCATCTCTTCTGTAATAATTTACTGTTGAATTATAAAGGATGGAATAAGAAAAAAAGAAATGGTATTGGTTGAATTCCATGAAGTGGGAGGAAATTGCTTGGACTGTCTCTGTTTGCATTTTTCTATATTTTGAAGTGTACTTAAAGTGGTTCTAAAGGCAGAAGGTTTTTTTACCTTCATGCATTCTTCAGTGTTCAGCTCCCTGCTCAGCCCCCCTAATACGTACCTGAGCCTGATCTCAAACCAGTGATGTGCAGGAGACCTCTCTTGGGTCTCTCCTTCCTCATTGGCTCAGACACAGCAGCAGGAGCCATTGGCTGCTGTCAATCACAGCCAGTGAGGAGGGCGTGTCTTATAGACACACAGATGAAGCCTGGGAGTGAGCACTCACATGTGTCCCCATAGTAAGCAGCTTGCTCTGGGGACACTAATCAGAGGGGAAAAGCCAGGAGTGCCAGCAGGGGACCCGAGAAGAGGAGGATCGCGGCTGCTCTGTGCAAAACCATTGCACAAAGCAGGTAAGTATGACATGTTTATTATTTTTAAAACAAAAACATGTGACCCTTTAATATAACTTTAAACAGCTGTTCCAGGCAATAAAGTAAACCAGTCATCAAGCTACTAATAATATCTAGCAAAAACTGTGATTTTGTTTAAAACCCACAAACAATTTTGCAATATAGTGCAGCTTCCCAGTCCTTAGATGTGTTGGTTACATTCATTTTCGTTTTAAGGGTTTTTTTTTCATATTTTCAGTTGGTGATTCTGTTCTAGGGTGACAATATTCTCCACTTCACTGCATCTGTGGAGGAGGAGTATTGTCACCATTAGACAGAAAGGGGTTGATATACTAAAAGACAATATACTGTGCACTGCAAAAATGCTGTTTTTTTATTTTCCTTGCATGTGATTGGGTATTATTTGTAAAAAGAAGGTTTACCTCATTTACCAAGCTCTGGAGCAAGTGCACAGTATAATTGCCTTTAGTAAATCAACCCCATTGTGTTTTAGGACTTCAGGACTATAGGCAGTTTCCAAATGAGTAACTCCTGGTCTGAAAGTGGACAGATTAGGTGACTGTCATCTCATGTTTATAGGTACCCTAAGGAAGTACTCAAACACAGTACTGGTATGGTATAGTTTTCATTTTCTAAGCTCCCAGAAGCTGTTATCAGCATTTTTTCTGCTCTTAGAAGCTAAATAGTGTCATGCTATGTGTCCATACACATTCAAGCTTCTGCATTTAGAAGCAGAAAAAAAAATAGTTTTTGTAGAGCAGAAAAAAGCTAAACGCTCCGAAACGCTACTAAACACTACTAAAATGTTCCTAAACAGCTTTTTTTCCCCTACATGTACTGTAAAAACTCTAATAAAATGCCACCTCTCCTAAACTCTTCTAAATGCTGCTAAAAACACTATTACCAGCATTTTTTTATTCAGCTTTTTTCCCATCTTTTTTTTAACCGTAAAAAAAAAAAAATGCTAGTGTGCATGGAGTCTAATAGCTAAAATGCTGGGAGTTTTAGAGGCTAATCCCACCTTATTTATATGACAAATGAAAAAGGGTTATCACAGTTTTGTGGTTAGAGCAGAAATCCTTTTTAAGTGTTTATTCCAGGTTTTTGGCTCAAGAAAGTCATTTCAGTGCAAGGAAGACAAAGCTTACAACCTTACAACCATATCAACTTTTAAGGAGAAATCAGTCAGCTAGCATGGTATTTATACTGACAGTCTGCAATGATTTCTAAATACGGCTGTGCCGCAACAATTACAGAGGGATACTTCTCTCTGCTCCAGTGAACACAGAAACACATCATCAACTCTGGCTGCATATGTATCTCAATCTTCTGCCTTCTTGTTTACCTACTTGAGCACTTTGGGAGACAGATTCTGAGAAGTGACTGATTAATCCGTGTGAATGATACATGTGGCATATGCCTTATGCTCCAGGGGTTGGTGCTGCTTGTGTCAGTACAAATGAGCACAGACACATCTTCCTGCAGTGGGATATTGATAGAGAACAACTGTAACAAAGAAAGAACACCACAAAGAGACAAGAAAAAGATATTAAGAAAGTGAGACTGACAAAGACAGTTATTTAAATTTTACAAAAAGATGAAAAAAAAAAACACACATCTAGTGGCTCAGATTTCCAAACAAATGTGTGGAAAATCCAAAACCTTTTAAAAAGAATGTTTTATTGGAAGAAACTTAAAAAGCAAACTCCCCATTTCCTCTTTTTACCTGTAAGAAAATCTTTAGTTTGGGTTTTTTTTTTTAATTAACCTAAATTTTCCATCAAGATTTTTGATTGATATCATCTTTCCTGGAAAAAATGGCTTTGGAAGTGTGTTTGCTTACAATGAATTCAGCATCACAACATTTTGTGAAATAATGAATATTTTAAAATTATTTTAATATTTTTATTTATACAATGCTTCTCATGTGGTGTGTGTGTGTGTAGGTGGGTTATAGCGTATGGCTGATTGGATGTTGGTCAATGACACACTGGGGTTTATTTACTAAAGCTGGACCGTGTACAATCAGGTTCACTCCTGCATAGAAACCAACCAGCTTCTAGCTTCAGCTTGTGTAGCCTCCCTGGCGGTATTCCCGAGTGTAGCTCGGGGTAAAGTTTCAGTACCACAAGCAGTAACCCCGAGCTACACTCAGGAATACAATGCGGCACTGCTCCGGGATCTGTTCTTCTCTTACCTTGTCCTGCGCTCCCGCAATGTCCCTCCTGCAGTGTCCCATGTAATGTCCAGATGCCGGCATCTGTCTTCTGGGTTCCATCCCCTGCGACGTCGGGACGTATGGGGACGGAACAGCGGGAAATTTGAAAATGACAAAAAGTGACATTCACTAAATTCACTAAAATAACATAGTAAAACATTACTGTATCAAATCATTTCACATACATTTTGTCCCTAGTGCTTTGTCCTGTGCCCTGCCTACATTTTTACTGTTCTTTCTGCCTGGAAACTGAGAAACAACCATGGCGTCCAAAAAGCGTCCCTTTAGGAAAAAAAACGTTTTAAACCAGCTAGAAAACTAGTAAATTAGAACTACTTGCAGAATTGAGTGATAATGATTCGTGGGGAAATTCGTCATCAGACACTGAAAACGATTTTGCAACTTTGCTCAGTGATGTGCGAACTTGGCGCTATATTTCAAATTAAATTTTTTAAATTATAATTTATGATTTTGTGTTTCAAATTTTAACATACCTGGGATGTTTACTAGACTCTTGTTCAGGACAGATTTCAGTGAGTTATTCCTAAAAATTACAGGCCTACAATAAAAAAAATACATATTTCCATGCAAAAAAATGTACCGCTTTGAGCACAGAAATATGGACATAATCAGACCGCTAGGGAGGTTAATTAAGCTATGGCGATAAAATCTACAAGCTGGTTGGTTTCTTTGCACAAGTGAGCCTAATTTTGCACTCTCCAGCTTTAGTAAATAAACCCAGTTTCTCTCATTGAAAAGCATGCCAAAACACTTCACAGACTTACTTGGATTATGTATGTATGTTTTAATTTGATTGTATTAGAAGTCTCTTTGAAATACTGATTTGCCGAATATAATATTCACCTGTAAATACATTGTAATCCCTAAATTTTACAATACAGAACAAAATAAAAGAAACATTACATGAAAATGAGCTTAACCTCAAAATAAACTGATCAAAATGATAAACACAACTGCAAAGACAAGTCATATTATATTGATTGACAGTTAGTAGTGTGCATCAAGAAGTATGTCAAAGAGCACTTTATTATGTGAGTTTTCATAGAAATAATGGGCAACTAATACAGTTCTGATGACTTCAGGCTAGTGGGTGTTCCAGTTTTCTTTATTGTACATCATGGGACACAGAGCAGACTACAAATCATGACTACCTGGGATGTTCCAAAGAAATGAACATGAGGGGAGGGAAACATAGCAGCCAGGGTAACTACTCCACAGCCCACAAAACACTGCAACCAAAAGCAGCATCCTCGGTAACCTTTATGTCTACCTGGTAAAACATCGTAAGGTGTGTACCAAAGGCCAGGTTGCAGCCTTGCAAACCTAAGCCATTGACACCTGATGACAGATTGCCCAAGAGGCCCCTACATTCCTAGTAGAGTGAGCCTCTACAGAAAAAGATGAAGCCTTACCCTTCAAACCAAAGGTTTGGACAATAAACTGACTAATCTGTTGTAAAATGGTCAGCTAAGTAGCCACCTGGCCTTTCCTAGAGTATTCAGGAAGGACAAACAATGAATCAGATTGTTTGATTGCTGTAAACATTTTCATATACATTCTTAAAGCACAGCCTAAATCTAATGTATGCAGGGCTCTTTCCACTGGTGACTGAGGACTGGGAAAAAACAAAGATAAGACAATGTCTTGATTCCAATGAAAACGCTACACCACCTTCGACAAGAATGATGAATGAGGACACAATACTAACTTGTCCTGACGGAGTACTAAAAACAGCTCCTTACAGAAAAGAGATGCCAAATCCGACACTCTCCATGCCTAAATGATTGCCACCAAAAAAAAACAACTTTCCAAGTCAAAAAGACTAATGGAATCTCATGAATTGGCTCGAAAGGTGATTTCTGCAAAACAGACAAAATCAAATTCAAGTCCCATGGACACAAGGGAGACTTAACAGGTGGAATCATACAGGTTACCCTTTGAACCAAAGTGAGAACCAATTAATGAGAGGCAATTGGTCTCTGGAAAAAACTGCCAGGGATGATATCTGGCCTTTAATGGTACTTAAGTCCAAATTCAATTCAACCCCTAATTGGAGAAAAGCCAAAAATTAGACCATTTATATATTTATGAAAACTTCCTGGCCTCACACCTGAACACACAAGACCTCCAAGTCCTATGATACATTTTTCTGGAGGAAGGTAAAGACTGCATCAGAGATCCCTTGATCATTCAGCACCTGGGTTTCAATAGTACAGCCATTAAACCCAGCGACTGTAAATCAGGATTCAATATTGGACTCTGAGACAGGAAGTCTGCTGGGCCAAATGATTGCATGTTTGTTAAATGTTATTTTTTTACCTTGAACCCTTCACTCTAGAAACCTGGCCTTCATTTTTACTGGAAAAAGATAGGGAAGTATACTATCAGATCGGGAAATCAGGCATAATCCCAACTGTACCATTTACACACAGACTGTCACACAAAAGCACTTTATAAAATACTTGTTGATGTCATAAAATTGTACAACTAGAAGTACAGAGAGTATTTAGGAATACAGAAGTAGTGAGGTGCTGGCTATGCTTATAATAGAAACCAAGGGATACTGGCAAGCAGAACTATGGATTAAACCTTTCCCCCCTAGTGCCCAGTATTCAGATAATTACATCACTTCCTATCATCAGAGAAAGAGCTAAACTCCTAAGAGACAGCATAGGATCTTGGGACAGTCCCGCTGCCACTGAACTACACATAGTTACATAGTTCTCTCATTTTAACTTCAGAGCTTGTACATCACACCCTGTTCACGCCGATTGGTGAGCAGGCAAATGCCCAAACCCCCTTATGCCACTTTGCTGTTTAGAGACACTGCATGCAGACACAATAACCCTTCTGTTTTACAGGAACCGTTATCATTATTATTTCAGTCATTCATCTGTGGATACTACATACCTTTAAAAAAATGTACCATTACCCACAGGCCCCAACACACTAGTGAAGATACCACCTTGCACTTAAAATCTGAACTGTCCCCTATATTAATAGTGACAGGTTGTGAATTTGCCTAAAGGGTTACTCTATCCTTTCACTATCCTAAAAGCAGGGGCGTTTGTCAGAGATACAGTGGTCCAGAGGGAGCTGACCTATTTCAAAGTCTCTTAAACCAGTGTTGCACCTGGCCACCCTTGTTAATTGTATTTGTTTTCCATATATAGTTATCTATATACTTATAAGAATTGCTTGGGATACAAAGAAAAATGTGCATGTAACCTCAGGAGAAATACAGGCTGCTCTGGAGAAAGACAGTGTGGTTGTTTCAAGGAGCACAATCCATCACAACAAAAATGAACTGCTTAGTCGAGTTTCCAGAAAGAAGTCTTTACTGTGCTAATGCCACAAAAACAATTCTTCTGGCAGTTGTGGCTGCAGTCTTTCTTGGTCTACCTGACCTTGGCTTGGTATCAAAAAATCCCTGAACGTTGTACTTCTTAATAAGTGATTGAACAGCAGCAACTGACATTCAAGGCTTTGGATATCTTTTTATATCCTTTTCCATTTTTTTTTTAAAGTTTCATTACCTCATTACAGGTCTTTTGACGGTTATTTTATGCTCCCCATGGCTCAGTATCTAGCTTTCTGAGTGCAACCATGTGAGAGATAACAGACTCACTGACTTTTTATACACAGACAGTAATTGCAATTTAAAAAGTCACATATGTGGGAAATTAACCTTTAATTGCCATTTTAACCTGTGTGTGTCACCTTGCATGTCTGTACCAAGGCCAAACATTCCAGGGTATGTAAACTTTTTATCAGGGCCATTTGGGTGACTTATTTTTTTTTTTTTTTTTTATTTCAGGTACTTATATAGTGCCGTCAATTTACGCAGTGCTTTACATGTATATTGTACAATTCACATCAGTCCCTAACCCTCAAGGGATGTACAATCTAAGGTCCCTAATTTACATTCATACATACACATACTAGGGCCAATTTAGACAGGATCCAATTCACCTACCAGCATGTCTTTGGAGGGTGGGAGGAAACCGGAATACCTGGAGGAAGCCCACGCAGGCACAGAGAGAACATGCAAACACCAGATAGGTGGTGCCATGGTTGGGATTCAAACCAACGACCCTAGTACTGCCAGGCGGAAGTGCTAACCATTTAGCGACTTCTGTTATTATTATGATTTAAAAAGGAGCAAAACTATGTGAACTATGTTTACATTTACAATTTAAATGCCAAAAATGTCATGATTTCTGTCAGGGTATGCAAACTTTTCAGCACAACTATATCTCTTTATTTTTTGAGATTTGTTTGTGATCCATTCAACTGTTACCCAGCACTTCATCCAATCCAGTGTTTGCTGTGATAGATCTGTGCTGTGTTCTCTAATCTGTTCAGTGAGTACTGCTACCTGAGCTAAATATGTCTGACCCTAGATTATCAGAAGATTTGACAGGCTTGCAAAATCAGGGCAACAACAGGGGGCAAGTATTAATTGGTGGCCCCCTACGGGGGTAGCGCTACACAGATATATCACAAAAGGCTCAACAGTGGCTAAATCAATACCCTTGTGAGGGACAGTAATGATACCTGCCACTCTAATAATGAAATGTGAGAAATAATATGGGAAATAATACAATATTGCTAGATGATATGCACAAAAATGTGGAAAATATGTACATGTCAACCCACAAAATACTGCAAAAAGTTTGTTCTACGTTTCAGTGTGTTGAGTTTGATGCCCCAGCCTCTTTTGATTTTGTCTGCATTCCTAGTGCAAATTCACATTTACAGTGAGAATGAGGTCAACAGGGACTAGAAGGGCTCATGGCACTGTGGGGAGCATTAAAAAATTTGAGATGAGTCACAGTAGAGAAGTTGTTGCTACAAACTGTATTGTGGACAAGGCATCCATTACACAGTTTAGAATTATCTTTGTTTTTATGGGTTTTATTGTGTTAGTAAATACCAACACCTAAAAGATGAAAGCCTTTGTATAAAAGAAATGCACACAAACATTGATGGACTACCCTGTAGTGAAGGACACATGATTAAATCAGTGAATGTTGTCTCTTGAAAGCCATTATCATTACAGTGATGAACAGAAAACTCCAAATGGCAGATGCTACATATAAGAAAACACAGCAGGTCTGCTTGTCTCTCATTAGCCATGATTACATTGAACGTCAGCCATACAGT